CCCTCTTAAATGATTCTCACTTTGGAGATTTGTTATTAGGTAGTTGTCAGCTTGAAAAAATAGTTTCATTAGCTGAATGAATGAACCTAATAGAAAATTGCCAGGACTTCATGACACTATATTCGTATGCAGTGATAAAGTTTTTCTCCCAAAGCCTTTTGAGTTCTCCTCTTACAGTGCTTGTTGAGAGCTGGTCTTCTTAGCTGGGCTGTATACTATTTGAGGGCAAGGACTTGTACCCAAAAGGTTCTAAGTGAATAAACTTTGGTTGGTTTCCATTGATCAGCCTGTGGAACAGGGAAATTTATTTTACAGATGAACGCTCATGCTTGCAGAGGGCAGGCCTGCAGCAGAGTAGGAGAGCTGGGACTTGTAGCCTGAGTCTTCTGCCTCTGGGTCCTGCTCTAAAACAAGCTGGTCCAGATGGGGAATGAATACCGACTAGCCAAAGATCAGTTTTTTCAGGATTAACATGTGCTGCTTTTTTGCAATTTAAATAGCTGAACATTGTGATCTTCCAGACATTGTCTTTACTTAAAGAGGTTTTGTTCTGAGTAAGGTCTGTCAGCTGAATGGTTCTACATTTATTCATAAGAAAATCTGAAGTTTGGAACTTCCAACTTTAAAGATACAAGTAGTCTATTGGTTAGCTGCCGAATTTATCAGCACTCAACTTCTATACTGAAAATGTGTTTTGGTTAGGCAGAGTGCTATATGCTTGAATGTGTTTCATCTGCATTAATCATATACTTTTGAGCTGAACCTAGTTGTTGTTCTCTGAACATGTTTCCCAACCCTGGGATCCTGTCACCTAAGGGACCTTCCCCTCTCCAGATGTTCATATCTTTAGGGCAAATGTTACCCTCCCTAGGAAATCTCCCAACAGAAGTAACTTCTCTTCTGTTTTATTTATTTATTTTTGGCAGCTGGCTGATAGGGGGAACTTTTCTGTTCATACACTTCCTCTCTACACCGCATTTTTTTTTTTAAAAGATGACCGGTAAGGGGTTCTCAACCCTTGGCTTGGTGTTGTCAACACCATGCTCAGCTAGTGAGCAAACCGGCCATCC